GACTGGGTTAACTCGATGGTCTGTGTAAAGAAGAAAAGTGGTGATTTAAGAGTGTGCATGGACCCAAAAGATCTTAATGAAAACATCAAGCATGAACATTATCAGATACCCAAGCGTGAGGAAATCACAAGTGAAATGGCAGATGCCAGCTTCTTCACAAAGCTTGATGCGTCTCAAGGCTTTTGGCAGCTGAAACTGGATGAAAGCAGCACCAAATATTGCACCTTTAATACACCATTCGGCAGATATTGCTTCCTCAGACTGCCCTTTGGGATCATCTCTGCATCCGAAATATTTCACAGAGCGATGGAGCACATCATTGAGGGGCTGGATGGTGTTCGAGCATATGTTGATGACATCATTGTGTGGGGCTCTACACTACAAGAACACAATGAGAGGCTGAAAAAGGTGCTGGAGCGCATACACAAGTATGGACTCAAGCTTAACAAGAGCAAATGCGAGTTTGGAGTTCAAGAAGTTGTCTTTCTCGGAGACAAGCTCTCTGCACAAGGTGTACAAGCTGACCAAGAAAAGATCAGAGCCATACAGGATATGCCAAGGCCCACAGACAAGACAGGTGTACTTCGCATTATAGGGATGGTCAACTTCATAGGTAAATTTATTCCAAACCTATCTGCAAAGACATCTTGCATCCGTGAGCTCCTGCACAAAGAAAATGAGTTTAAATGGACAGTCAAACATGAGCAAGAGTGGAAAACACTCAGACAGACACTGACAACTGCACCTGTATTGACATTCTTTGACCCAACAAAGAAGATTAAAGTTTCAACAGATGCTTCAAAGGATGGAATAGGCGCAGTGCTCCTACAAGTTGAGGGCGAGCATTGGAAACCAGTGGCCTATGCATCCAGGTCAATGACACAGACTGAGTGCAGATATGCTCAAATAGAAAAAGAATGTCTGGGACTGGTTTATGGCTTGGAGAAGTTCCACAGCTACATTTATGGCCTACCTTCATTCACAGTAGAGGCAGATCATCGTCCACTTGTATCCATCATTAAAAAGAATTTAAGTGAAATGACACCAAGGATACAGCGTCTCATGATGAAGATGCAGAGATATGACATTGAGCTGATCTACACACCTGGAAAGCACCTGATACTTGCTGACGCTCTCTCACGAGCACCTACAGTGGATAATGTGAGTACAACTGAAGAGGATGTGAAAAGTCATGTGAACATGGTGTCTGCTGCTCTTCCTGTATCAGACACAAAGTCCAGACAGATAGCTGAAGAAACAGCAAAAGACACAGAGCTGCAGTGTGTCATTGCAAATATGCAAAATGGATGGCCTGTAGGTTCCTGTCCGCTCTTCTACCACATCAGAGGTGAACTGAGTGTCGTTGATGGACTATTACTGAAACAACACAGGAGTGTCATTCCACGCGCATTGAGACAGGAAGTACTACAAAGAATACATGAAGGTCATCTGGGTGTTGAAAAATGCAAAAGACGGGCGAGAGACAGTGTTTTCTGGCCTGGAATAAATAAAGACATCAAGAGACTGATTGGTACGTGTGACACATGCCAGACACACAGAAACAAACAGACTAAAGAGCCCATGATGGTGACTGATGTGCCAACAGCACCATGGGATAAAGTTAGGATGGATTTGTTTAATCTCAAAGGTAAAGACTATTTAGTGGTCATTGACTATTACTCAAACTTTCTTGAAATGGCACTACTGTCAAACTCATCATCAACATGTGTCATAACACATTCAAAATCAATTTTTGCCAGACATGGCATACCTAACACAGTAGTGAGTGACAACGGACCGTGTTTCAACAGCAGAGAGTGGCAAGAATTTGCAGAACAGTACGACTTCAAGCATGTGACCTCAAGTCCTCATTATCCACAGTCAAATGGGAAAGCTGAAAAGGGAGTTCACATTCTCAAGCAACTTCTAAAGAAAGCTGAGAGTGGCTCAGACCCATACCTCGCTTTACTCAGCTACAGAGCCTCACCTCTGGAGTGTGGACGATCACCTGCTGAACTTCTGATGAATCGTAAGTTACGCACCACACTGCCAAGCTATTCAAAGCAAAAGAGACACCCAAAGCTGCAACACCAACTACAACAACAAAAGATCAAGCAGAGAACATGCTATGACAAAACAGCTAAGCAGCTTCCATTACTATCAAGTAATGACACAGTCAGGATTGAGGGTCCTGATGGATGGAGAACAAAAGCCACTGTTCTTCAGGAAGTAGCACCGCGATCCTTCACTATGAGGACAGAGGAAGGACAAATCTTCAGACGCAATCGTCGCAGTCTTATGAAAACAAAAGAGGCTGGTCAACAGCTCAGTGAATCCATCAGTCCACACCTTCACCACAGAAATACTGTGATACTAACACTCCAAGTGAACATGTGGTCAGAAGATCTACAAGGGAAATCAGAAAACCTGATAGACTGAATCTGTAATTGAGAGACTGGTTTAATGGATGTTAAAATGGTGTAAATGTTTAGACAATTTCCAAGTTTGTGCTAGTTAGCATTCTGAGTACATTTAGACCAGATGTTTATTTGTTATGGCATGGTAGAGAAATCAAAATGTTTGGTTAAAATTGATGTTGCACTATTTGTTTATATTACCTCAAAGAAAGGGGGATGTGCTGATTAGATAGATACACACTCCTACCACAAGGTGTCGCCACATAGTTGTGATCTATGTTTAAATCCACATGTACGGTAAAGGACCTGAACAAGACCTCTTGATTAAACATGGCTGAGACTTTAGCACGGAGGACGAGTCAGTTCATTAATAGACCAACAAACAAAACAGTGTCTGAACCTCTCTTTAGTGGTTCATTAATAAAACAGATATTTCAACGTGAGCCTACTTTGTTCATGTACTGTTGAGGTTAATTTCAGTAGTTGTGTGCTATAATGTATTTACAAAGTGTGAAGAGGAGGCAACTTTAGAATAGGGAACCTGTTCAGGTCAATTAGAGTCAAACTACTAGTTTATTGGTTATGAACAAGACTTCACTTTAAAATAGGGAACATATTCTTAGATAGAAATACCTAATTTTGAGTTATTTAGACATATTGAGCAGAGCATATTAAGACCAAAACTCATGTACAACAACTTCCTTACTTGCAATAAATAAGCACTAATTAGAGGGTTATTGAGGAAAAACTCTCAACTAATGGCCTATTACTTGTAGAATATGGTCATGTAGAATAAGGCATTAATAAGTGTTTTATAGTGTCTAATAAAGAGCCAATATACTGCTAATATGCATGTTAACTAGTTGATGGTGAATTTGTGTACCTTAATATAAAGTGTTACCGCTTATATAATGAACATTGATGTCTATGTGCCTTATTCTGTATTTGACATAATTGTTTCAATAAAAAAAATAATAATAATAATAATAATAAGTCATTATAATGAGATAGCTAAGTCAATATAATGAGATAGTAAGTCATTATAATGAGATAGCTAAGTCAATATAATGAGATAGCTAAATCAATATAATGAGATAGCTAAGTCATTATAATGAGATAGCTAAGTCATTATAATGAGATAGCTAAGTCATTATAATGAGATAGCTAAGTCAATATAATGAGATAGCTAAGTCATTATAATGAGATAGTAAGTCATTATAATGACTTACAGGATATTTTTTTTTTCTTGTGGCGCAAACAGGCTTCCATAGAGCTGAGCTCATGCGGGACCCGGCAGCTACTGTCTAAACTAAATACTGCCGTGATGAAACGCCATATCATGGATTATCAAGGATTATTTCTGAAACAGTATGGAGCTCAAAGGCTTTCTCTCTTGCCGGTTATACCACAAGGTGAGTTCCTTTTTATTTCCTGCTTCTTCACACACATGCTCTCCAGTACAGGTTAGCTCTGAGTGTTAGCGATGCTAATGTAAACACCTACCATATTACGTCCAAAACAGTCGGGCATTGTTTCTGATAGCAACGTTTCTGATAGTGCCGTGGGTCCACATTTCCGATATTACGTCATATCGGACGCAAATCTGGATCAGCTCCGTTGTACCCCCGTTTTTAGAGATTTGGGTACAGAGGAAAAGAGAGAGGGTTGTATTTTCTGACGCTGCGTGAGTTCCCTGACACACCGGGGACACATAGTTATGTATAAAAGACATCAAAAAGTGCATTTTGCATGATAGGTCCCCTTTAATTATGTTTATTTACTGTGTGTTTGTTATTGTAGGGTAATGTTTATTATTTAACTTGTCTCTCTCTGCTCCATATTAAAGCATATCTAGCTGGTACAGCTGAAATGATGGGCCTATAAAAAGCCGCTCTTGGTGCATTGGTTTGTTGGAGTAGGTTGGATTGAGTTGGTTGTATTGCGGTTGAATTTAAGTATTAGCACGTCAGCAGGCCTGGCTATTTGCCATTATTGTAAATATTTTTACATATTGTGAATACATCTCCTTACTTTGGTCGGATTGCTCATAGGTCAGCCTAACAGTTAAAATGAATGCATAAGTGAATGCAAGAATAGATACATGAAAAAGTTAAAACATTAATGCATTAAAAATAATTAAAAGTTGAGAAAAATCAAAAAATATCTTTATTGTTTTACTACACTCATATTCACTTATATTGATGTATGTTTATTCTCAACCTTGATTTTTGTATGCATACATTTCCTTATTTCCATATTTACTATGCATTTATTTAATTATTTGTTTTTGATTTCTATATTTTTTCCATCATTTATTTTAAATTGTTTTTAATGGACTTATTTTCTTCAGGCAGTATCATGCTCAAGTGTTGAAATGCTTTCATTCATTATTATTATTATGACCATAGTCAATGTTTTTACTAGTATCAACTGATACTTGCAGTAAATGTACATAAGAACATTTCATAAACTGAACGATAATGATGGAGCACTTTTGGGGTCATCATTTCAGCTATACTGTTAAAGTGCCTCTATAAATGTATAACTAAAAGAGATCAAACAAAAAGGACAAGACAGACTGACTTCAGAAATATACAGACATTTATTTACAAATACGTTTGCATTTGCATTGACATTTAAAATTCCAAAATAGAAGATATTAAAGTAAACAGATTTAGAAAATATTATTTTACGCTGCATAACTTAGCATAGGCAAAGTTTGTGCTGTTGTCTTTTCATCTGTATCATAAATATACATAAATAAGATCTGTGCGCACTTCAACAGGTGGAATGGTTTCACTTTGCCGAGCAGTCGTCACAATCAGTATGCTTCATCACACTCATCATCCTCATTATTATTATTCATCATTCTTTACCAACAGGAACAATCATTTTGGTTATTTTTGAAACATTTTTGTCATATATAGTTATTATACAAAAGACAGAATTCCTACTCCATGATACCTTAAACATTCATTATCATCTGCAGTGTGCGCAAATTAAGACAGAGAGTTATGGTTTTAAATAACCCGATATGCATGCTGCAGATAAAAGAACACAGCCATCTGCAGATGAGGATTAGGGCCACATGTGAAATTATTTCTGAGATCTGACCAAAAATGAAAAAAGAATTCTGAGTAAAAGGTCAGAATTCTGAGATTTTCATAAAGAAATATTATATTAAAATTAATATAAATTATATATATGATTTTTTCTCAATTTATATTGCCTTAATCCTCTTCCGTAGCCCTCTTTACATAAAGCCATAATTATTATTGCTGCTCTGAATTTAAGAAAAATAAGCTTTGCAATAAGGAATTATTTTACTGTTCAAAAATCTGTGAAATAGATTCGGCATTTTATTTTACATGTGTACATATACATATATATTATTTAAATCGGACCCTTTCTTCACACTAGAAAAGTAGATTAAAATGATTTTCTGCAGTTATATATTTTTACTGTGCTCTACCCATGTATGTCAATGTTTTTAATCACATTTGTTCTTCTTTAGTCATCAGTGATGTTGTCGAGTGTTTAGAAGAGACATTATGAGGATCCGCCAGTGACTGTAAGACCTCCTGCTGTCCAGTCAGATGTTCATCCATCGTCATCCTGCGGGGGTCTGCAGGGCAGCTAACGCAGGGGCTTTAAAGGGATGGAGTGAGACCTGAAGGTGGAGACTAAAAATAACCTTAAAAAGACCCAAGTTCTGCTTGTTGAAATTAAAAAAATAAATCCACCTTTGTCACCTAGCTAACACGGTGACCTTTGACCCCGAGATCCCGACAGCAGGAAGTCCAACAGGCTGGCCTCATGCCTCTCTGCCCCTCTGACACATTTTAACATCCTCTGACTACGTAAAGCTGGTGCAATTCTGTACAAAGCAAGTATTTTTTTTAACATTGTTGCGTAATCAATAATGACAAAACAGAAAGGAAACGGAGGGAATATTACAAAGGACTTGCAAAAATATATCTCCACAGCGGTGTCAGATATTAAGGACTCTGCTTTACATTAACGGTGCATTGCATGAGTGCCCTACAGTAGCATTTCACTTCTGCAGCTTTGGTTATAGTTAATAAATTAAGTCTAAACTGCCAAATTAAATCTGAAACCAAAAACAACATTGAGGAAAAGCATGTTGGGAGGAGCTTATGTTGACTGTTACAAACCTGCAGTCTAACAGAGTGATAGCAGCGAGGCTTTGCAGCTTAATGGCAGACAGAAAATAATGTAGAGGAGTATTTTTAGGCTGCAGATAGTGGGGAGGAAGGATTTGAATGTAAGTTCACCAGTCATTTAGTCCCTACACACATTTAATGTCATACCATTTCCCTTCTCCATCTTCCAAATTCACCAACCATCTATCACTTTTCCCTCTGTCCTCCTCTGAGGGACGTGTGTGTGCGCTTTGTGTGTGTGAACATTTTCACACAAATGGGTCCGCATTAATTTGTGTTATGCTGTTAGCGATGTTTTTTAGGAACCAGGAAGAGTGTGTTGGGAATATTTGTTTAGTTTCTTCAGTGTTTTCTAAAGCATTACAGGATGTAATTCCCTAAAAATTACATAGAAGCACACCGACGTGTGTCTTTTGATTTTTCGTGTGTTCCTCCCTTTTTAGCCATGGTATAACACCTAGCTGTACATAATTGTGAATGGCTATGTGGAGAAGAGCACAGCAGTAGTAGATGTTGGTTGGGTTATACAATAAATGGCACAGAAAGGAATGATAACCGTGCAGAAAGATTGCAGACTGGTCTTCACAAAGGTGTAGCAAAATGGAAACAAAAAGCAGGATGATATGTGATACAGTATGGATCTGTGGAGTAGTTGTGGAGACGCAGGAGTCCTCAGAAGAAGAACTTCCTCCTTGGTTCTGAAAAGTATGGGTGCAGAGATTGGACTAAGGCTGTATGTAGCATGGGGGCTGGGGCTAAGTCCTGTGGCCCTTCAGGAGAGCCCTTTCTCTGTTAGAATTTCTCATCGGGAATCAATGTGTTGAACGGGTGGTCCCAGAATGTGGAGGTGATTCCAAAACCTGGAAAGAGAAATGAAGATTATGGACTGCATTTATATAGCGCTTTTCAAGTCGTTGCAACCACTAAGTGCTGAGCATCCAGAGCTTGGAGAAGTACTCAGAGCTTGTACTTGAGTAAAAGTAGAAGTACCAGATTGTAGGAAAACAAGTTACAAGTAAAAGTCCTGCATTCAAAATGTTACTCAAGTAAAAGTACAGAAGTATTAGCATCAAAATATACTTAAAGTACCAAAAGTAAAAGTATTCATCGTGCAGATTGGTCCATTCCAGAATAATATATATGATATGTTTTATAATGATTGATCATTAAAGTGTTCTCAAAGCTGGTAAAGGTGCAGCTAGTTTGAATGACTTTGTATACTGCAGGGTAGCTTGTGAATTTACTCCAGGTGGAACTAAAGTCTGATTTAACACTTGATTATATTTCACATCATCATCATCATCATCATCATCATCATCATCATCATCATCATCATCATCATCATCATCATCATCATCATCATCATCATCATCATCATCAATCCAAATCTGTAAAGTAACTAAAGATATCAAATAAATGCAGTGGAGTAAAAGTACACTATTTACCTCTGAATTGTAGTGTGGTAGAAGAACATATATATATATATATATATATATATAGTATATATATTTTTGAATGTTATCCTTTTATTTCACATTAAATATGTTTATATACCAGTCAAGTCCCACTAACATATAAACTCCTCCTCCATGCCCTTCCCTCTCAGTGCCTCACAGATCTCCCCTGCCATACATCCCATCCCGTACTCTTCCATCCTCAGACTCTGGTCTACTTCCCATTCCCCCTTCACGCCTCTGCACTTTAGGGGACCGTACTTTCGGTGTCGCTGCCCCAACCCTCTGGAACTCCCTCCCTGCTGAAATCCGTAACGCCCCTTCTCTGGACATCTTCAATTCAACCCTGAGAACTCATCTGTTTAAGATAGCCTTCCAACCTTATTAATAATAATAATAATAGCTTAGATTTATATAGCGCCTTTCATGGGACCCAAGGTCGCTTTACAAAGAAAAACAGGAGTAAAAACAAACAAAAACAAACAAAAACAAACAAAAACAAAAGGCAGTCAGACACACAGTCAGACAGACAAAACAACAAATCAATTAGGGGCCGAAGGCCTTGGCAAACAGATGGGACTTGAGGGCCCTTTTGAAGGCGTCAAGCGTGGGTATGTTGCGGACATCCGCAGGGAGAGCATTCCAGAGGGTGGGGGCTGCCACTCTGCAAACCTTCTGGGACAGAGCCTTCAGTTTGGTGCGGGGGGTGGTAAGCAGGCCAGAGTCTGAAGACCGCAGGTTCCGGGGTGGGGCATGTGGGCGAAGGATGTCCGATAGGTACTGGGGGACATGGGCATGGAGGGACTTGTAGGTAAGGAGGAGGACTTTATAGGTTATGCAGGATTTGACCGGCAGCCAGTGGAGGTGGATGAGGGTGGGAGTGATGTGCTGCCACGGCTTCGTATGTGTGAGTACCCTAGCAGCACAGTTTTGAACATACTGGAGCCTGTCCAGGGGTTTTGTTGGGGACCCCAAACAGGACACCATTGCAGTAGTCCAAGCGGGAGGTGACAAAAGCGTGGACTAAGGTTTCTGCAACCGACTCCGAAAGTGACGGTCGGAGTCTGGCAATGTTCTTTAAATGGACATTTAGAAATGGAGATTTGGTGACAGACTTGATGTGGGAGTGGAAGGAAAGGGTGGAGTCAAAGATGACACCCAGGTTACGGACTTCAGGAGATGGGGAGATGGACCAGCCGTCAACCTCAAGGATGAAGTCACCAACCTTCTGGAGCAGCGCCTTGGGGGCCATAACCATGAGCTCTGTTTTCCTTAGTTACTCATCCCCTGCCCTCACAAACACTGTCGCACATCGCCTAATATGCCTTCTGTGTTCTGGCCCAGATTGTGCTTTATGTTCCCTCTGTAAAAGTGACCTTGTGTTTATGAAATGCACTATATGAAATAAGTAATTATTAATAATATCAATCTTTTTACTTTATCATTTATTTGGATTGTGATTCCATTGAGAGCAATTTGGACTTCAGTAGCTTGCCCAAGGACACAATGACATCTTTACTGAGGAGACTGGGGTTGGAACTACTGACCGACTAATTAATGGATGACCCTATCTTGTAATACCCTCTGGTTTCAGGTGCTCACCTGCTTTCTGGTGCTCAAAGTGGTGTTTGACGTGGTAGGCCTTCAGGCCGTACATATAGGAGCCCTTCTTTGGCGACCCGTAGTGAAGGTAGTAGTGGATCATATCGTACACCACGTAGCCGCACAGTCCTCCTACAAACACGGAGGTCCCCAGGATCTGCGGGAGCGTGCTGAGGAGGATTAGATAGAAGCCTCCCACCACTAAGGAGGCCAGGCCGGGGGGGAAGACCAGCCGAGCGCCGTCGAACGGAGACTGTGGAGACAGATATTATGCAGTGAAAGTCAGCCCATTTTTCAATAAAGATGATGCTGAAAAAACTCATTCATGTGTTCATTTTAAGTAGGATGGACTATTGTAAAGCTTTTTTTACAGGTCTACCAAAACAGTCAATCTAAAAACTCCAGCTAATTCAGCACCACCTGTGTCATCCACAGGCACAATTGGACTTCAACACCCATGCAGCTGACATTGTACACGATAGTTGTTGTCAAATGAATACACTCAACATGTGCACTTTTTGAACAAAAGCTAGATGGCCGAGAAAGCTAAATGTTGATAAGACTGAGGTAATAACTATTGTTTATCGTACAGAGATGGACAACCACATTATAGCCCAAAAACAAAAAATCTTGGTGTCATCTCTGATAACAACCGCAGTCCCAGTCAAGCCCGAGCCTGTTTTTCAGGCCTCAGGCTCGAAAATGACATTCCCAGAACAAATGACTATACTTTCACTTCTAAAAGGATTAAATTAATACTCTTTTTTCTCAAAGTAATGATAAACCTGTGAGTTGGATGTAGAAAAGTCAGAATCAATATAGATGTTTTTATTTTAAAGAAAATTCAGATTGAACATAGTAAAACATTTTTAAATTATAGTGTCCGTCCAAAGAAAAAACATTACTTATAGTGAAAACCACCCTTGAATGATGGGATAGTAGACTCCACACTATAACATATAATAAGTACCCTGTATCAAGATTGATGCAAACCAAGTGACATTTGACCTTTTTAGAGAGATTTAGAAAAAAAAAACACTTCTGGGGTCATTTGGGTGCATTTTCCATATCTCTGGCCCCCGTCGGTCGATTTTGATGATTGACACCTCTTTTTAACCGTTAGAGCCAATAGAATCAAGGGGAAGTTCCTAAAAATCCATCTAAACATTACCCATTGGTGAATGAGTGATGCGTAGCCAGAATGCCCCGGAACCGGAAGCTGTCATACACTCTAGTAGCTATCGTAGCAGCTAATATGAAATCTCCATTATTGACATAAAAATGGAATGATGGATTATCAGTAATCATTTCAAAGTGACACAGACACATTGTATTAACCTATGGATTAACCTTCAGCCGCGTTTTTATCGTTTTAATGCCATTGAACACAACTTTTGATCAGAACACAGCAACGGTAAGACTTCTTTTCCGATTTGGTCCCGTAAAGCTAATCTTTTTGTTATTGTTTGTTGTCATTTTGCCGCGAGTTCTGATCGCTCAGTGATGATACTTATATGTATGGAATCTGTGGAATCTCAGCTTTCTAATCAATATCTTGTTTGTGCAGATCCGATAAGTAATAAGGGTATTTTAACGTGAGTTCTGTGCTAAGTGTGTTAGCATTTTTTCGCTCAGGGCTAATTCAGAGCCTTTGTTATTACCCTTATGTTTCGTTTTGCTAAAGATTGTTAATATTGTCTGATAGCTGAGTTTCTTCCCGTTAAGTGGATATGACACATTCATAGTTTACTAAATGTTAAGAAGCCCTCAGACGCTGTTTCTTGCAAGATGTTGCGTTTTGCCCCCGCCCGCGGGGCCGTGGGGTTTAACTGGTTAATTAAACATTAACCAGCCATGGTAATAAAGTTGTGCAATCTCGTTTCCTACAGCGCTAGTGGCTCCCATTAAGATTATTACAGATGTCTTATTCTAAAATTGCAGCTGCTAGCTTACCCAAACTATTTTTAAAAGTATTTAACGCAATTTTTGCTTCTCTTTTTTCAAACCCGGTAAACTTTTGAATTGATTTAAGATATTATTGATAACTTTTAAGGCCGGCAGCTACACCTCAGATCTCGGCAAGGTCCTCAGCTACCAATTCTGCGATCTACGCTGAGGATTGGGTGCTTTCAATCTTATTTAAATCCGGATTATCCGGAAAATAGATTTCATTATTGTTTGTCTGCCATTTATTGTTGACTTCAAAGGACTTTGAAACTTTGTGTTTTTGCTATATAAATAAAGTTTATTACTGCTATTTGTTTTTCAGCTTTACAAAAGCACAAAAGAAAGTTTGTTTTAAGAGAATCATAAACGACAAATGGCCAATTTAACTACTGATAACAATACATGCGCACTCAGATCAAACATTTCAAAGTAAAATTGAAACTACTCTATGGGGATTGGGAAACAGTTGTCAGTCACAGAAACAGAAAAAGATATTCCTTTATTGTGCCATAAAGTACTAAATGTTGATTAATGATTAAACCAGTTTCATGCTCATGAGATCAGCCCGTCCCTGTGTGTGTGTGTGTGTGTGTGTGTGTGTGTGTGTGTGTGTGTGTGTGTGTGTGTGTGTGTGTGTGTGTGTGTGTGTGTGTGTGTGTGGTGTGTGTGTGTGTGGTGTGTGTGTGTGTGTGTGTGTGTGTGTGTGTGTGTGTGTGTACCTTGTGGTGCTGTCCGTGCAGGAGGAAGTGTATCGTGATGAGGTAGTAGTTATGGGCCGGGGGTTTCATGTGGAAGACGAAGCGATGGATGCAGTACTCGATGAACGACCACAAGAACCAGCCCATCAGAAAGAGCAGGGGGAACAAGTACTTATGGATCGGGATAGAGAAGTCTGGGAAACACACACACAAATGACTTAGATTAATACACACCTTAACTGGACAGAAACAATTATGACAAGATATTTTTAATATATGTGTTTATTGTGTGTGTGTGTGTGTGTGTGTGTGTGTGTATGTGTATGTGTATGTGTATGTGTATGTGTATGTGTATGTGTATGTGTGTGTGTGTGTGTGTGTGTGTGTGTGTGTGTGTGTTACCTGAAGTGAGTTCTAGCCTGGTGGAGCCCTTTGCCAGCGTGGTGTAGCAGTACCAACTGTAATAAAACACAATAGGAAGCCACACCACTGGAACCCAATACCTGCAACAAAAGAGCATTTAGCATAATGGTCACACTTTTATTATTTTCCTCATGTTTGTTTTATATATCATAGCACACTGAGTGTGGTGCGGCCTCAGAGGAGCAGGAACCTTCATCTTAAAATACTTAATGGGTTAGTTAAAAAGCTGCTTAAATGATTGTGTAGAACACTATGAAAGGGATTTGGAGTGCAACAGTTCATTGCTGTCAGGGTTCAAATATGTTTAGGAATCATTGACTACAACTGTTTCTTTATGGTACAATGTTCAAAACCTTTTTTTGTTTTGTTGGACATCCCCCAACAGCCAATTGAGATGGCATCCCTTCATTATGATACAAATTGCTAACCCTATATAGGAGTGGACTTGTCATGGGGATATAGGGGTTTTGTGGTTAATGTTTAGGTATTTGCTTAATTTTGTTCCAATAGGTTTGGCCTAATGTGCCACCGTAGACACTTTGAGTGAACAAGACTGGACATTTCACAATTTATTCCGCACTTTTAGCTTTGTATTTTCACTTAGAAACTATTTTTAATAAACTCTCAATCCCAGCATGCAATGCTATACTGACTCAGATTAGAGGTAGGCAACGGTGAATAAACTAAGGTTCAGCGTCACACCGTTTGAGGATTTTTCCGGATAAACTGAGGATCTTGGGACCTTTCCACGTACCAACAAGTGTCCTACTATAAGTCCCCTGCAGCAACACTTCAATCGCCATTATTGCATCACAACGTATCGCTTGGGTTTTTGAATCTCCAAGAAACATTCTGAAAATGTTTTCAGGATGTTATTCTTTTTTCAGAAAACGTTCCTGTGATGGCAAATATTAACACGGTCATGGTCAACGTCAGATTTATTTCTAGAGCGCTTTAAAAAACAAACTTGTTGCATTTGTTTGAAAGGGATGTTTTAAAAAAAATCTGATGTCACCATATTTTCCTTTTGAAAAAAACAAACAAGCACGTAATTCATGATAAGCTGTAAGCAGATATTGCATGTTTGCGGTGGCATGTGTGAGTTCCCAGCTAGAAATGTTTGTTACCATTCATTGTTCTAGGAATGTTTTCAGCGCAACGTTTTATTTTGGTTCCCAGAATGTTCTTCTGAAAGGTAGGATAACGTTATTTAAAAACATTCTTGAAATGTTTGGTGATAACCTTCTTAAGATGTTTTTGATAACCTTAAGATGTTTTTGATAACCTTCTTAAGATCTTTTTGATAACATTGTTAGAACATTATGCCCTACTGTTCTTAAAACGTTTTCAGCGGGACGTTTTATTTTGGTTCCCAGAATGTTCTTCTGAAAGGTAGGATAACGTTCTCTAAAAACATTCTTAACATTTTTGGTGATAACTTTCTTAAGATGTATGAGCGCATTGAGACAATGAATAGGACGTATAAAAACGAATTTGCATGCCAATATTCACTCACATGCACTTATAATCACACTAAGGTATGTAGGCCCACAGTATTCATAATATCATATGTGTAAAATATCAGAAAATAATCACACTTTTTTTCTGACTATATAGGTTGTGTCTCGTATGTAGGTTCTAACTGTTAGATAAGCTATCTGGCCGTGTGTGGTTTGTGAGGGCTGCGTATAAACAGTGTCCGCTGTTTATGCATATTGGATAAAATCGTTATTGCACCCTTTAGATTTGAGACCGACAGACATATAGAAGAACGGACCGACTGTCACTGCCCGTCCCTGAAACCCCTGTTAGTGTTTTTATGTGTTTGTTTCTACTGTGTGTCTCTCTCTCTCTCCTCCCCCCCCCCCTTTTAAAAACATTTTAAGAAGGTTATCAAAAACATCTTAAGAAAGTAATCACCATACCTTTTAAGAATGTCTTTAGAGAACGTTATCCTACCTTTCAGAAGAATATTCTGGGAACCAAAAGAAAACTTCCCGCTGAAAACATTCCTAGAACAGTGAATGGTAACATTCTCAGAATGTTTTTAGAACCAAAAATGTCTAGCTGGGAGGTCTGTCTCAGTGGACCGAGCTCAAGCACATGGCCTTTGTGCGAGTTTACTTTTTGAGCGTTGTGATTGGAATTTGTTGTGAGTGGTTGTTAACTGTTGGAAACATGATTTACAGGTGGGTGGGGACAGTTGGTGGTCTCTTACCATGAGGTCTTGGTGCTGGCCTCCAGTAAGGGGTTTCCAAACAGTCTGATGGGTCTGTCGACTGGCTGGTGGACCCACGCATCGTATTTCTCTCCCAGGTGGCCCACCTGCCATGCCAGGGGCTTCCGCCAGTCTACCAAATCCTGTTGAGATACAACCAATGAGGAATGAGTCAAACATATTCTATACACATAAATATGGCTGTGCTGGAGAAAGTACCAAGAACAGTTATCACAGAAACGTGGTTGTCTCAAGCAGGTGGCAGCAGAGAGTTACAAACTGAGACTTAACAAACCAGGAAGTGACTGCCTGGATGTTTGTATTGTGTTTGTGCTAGAAAATATAAAACATTTTAAGTCAAAGACCATCGGATTAGATACTATTATAAGCGCTTTACAAGCTCCTCATGCCTAAAGCTAGGGCTTGCACAATTAATCTACTGTAAATGTAAATATATACAATATTATTATACAATACAATATTTGAGATTAAGTATTGTGGAGCTGCAGACATATCCCCACCTACTAATAGTATTCTACAGTTCCTCTACTACTGATTATTTAATTTCATCATAATGAGAATAATGCTGTGAAAATGATCCATCCTTCCTACATTTTTGTTTTCATATTAGTCAAAACTATTTAAAATAGTTTTTTTCAAATTGAGTATCCCTTCCTACGTGAGACACGCATACAGAAAGTGGGTTGTTCAGTCAAGTATCACACTGATCTGTGACTATAAAACCTATAAACCCCTGAGCACATCGGTATCAGGCACGGACTGACACAGTGACCTCAGGTTGTTTATCTTGTCCCACACTGATTCAAATAAACGACCTTTTTACCACCTAGGTGATACGCGTTTATCACCTTCTCTCGTTTAAACACAGAGAAATCTGATGATCCTCAGCAGTAACTCTACCACACAATGAGCAGTCCCTCTGTCTGACATCTCCTTTTCTATTTAAACACATCCAGTCAAACTGACTGTTCACCATGCCGTGGCACTCCTGCTGACAGTGACTGCTCAGCTTCCTGTCATATCACTGTCGGGTTTACAACTTATCAACATCAGGTTATTGCCTCGTAACGCCCTGCTCTGTCTTTTATTACCTCCGTTCACTCAGGACAAAGTGATGAACAGAGAGTGTGGTTGTCCTGGTTGAACTGATAGTAGGTAATGCTGGGCACAACATGTACACGGCTACAACTAAATAAAACAGTGTGAAGAAGAAAAATTGTAAATTGACTGCATTTCTACAGTGCTTTTCCCCCGATTTACATATTCAAGTCAGCTTTCACCCATTCACACAGAGGCAGAGGCTGCCATAGAAAGTGCCACCTGCTCAGGGATCAATTAGGGTTAAGTAACTTGCCCGAGGACACATCAAAATGTTGACTGCAGGGGCTGGGGTCCGCTGACCTACGGTTGGAGGATGACCATCAACCCCCTGAGCCACAGATGCGCACGTAAAAGCATGACATGGAAAGAAAAATGGGTAAAAATACTTTAAAGGGGCCCTATTATGCTTTTTTGGAGATTCCCCTTCCCTGTAGTGTGTTATATAGGTTTTTGAGCATGTCAAATCCCAAAGTTCCCTCTAGAGGGAGTTTCTCTCCCACACACTCCCCCCCCTGCTTGAAATGCCTTAATTGGACTCCCTTGTTTACTTCAGTAACATAGTGAAATCTCGTGCTTCTATTGGCTAGCACTCCAACACATTGTATGTGATAGGCTTAGTGGTGGAATATTTTAGACACATCTCTAAGCAGTTGACCACCATCACAACAGAGCCGGCCAGCTAACCAATCAGAGCAGACTGGGCTCTGGTTTCAGACAGAGGGTGAAAAGAGGTGCTGCAGCACAGGCAGTATGAGAAAAAGAAAGACCTTTTAAAACATTAAAGCATGGAGACATGTCATAGTATTGGCACAAAATACAAATATGAGCATAATATGTCCTCTTTAAAGCTTGCTGATAACTGGCCAACTCTGATATCCATATTCAAGTCTGTAATCCATGTCAGATTGAGACAAAACTGTAATTTCTACCAGATATAAGGTCTTGTATATAAAAAAATAGATGAAAGATTCCCTGTCATATGGTAAAGATAAGCACACTTGTGACAGGTATAGTTGCTTTCCACAAATGAGTGATGATACTTTGAAATGCAGTGGTAGAAGTTATTTCATTACACTGTTATCGGATACTTAAAGGTGTCCTATCGTGCAAAATGCACTTTTTGATGTCTTTTATACATAAATGTGTCCCCGGTGTCCGAAAATACAACCCTCTCTCTTTTCCTCCGTACCCAAATCTCTAAAAACGGGGGTACAACGGAGCTAATCCTGATTGCGTCCGATATGACGTAATATCGGAAATGTGGGCTTGCTTTACACCCACGGCCCTATCAGAAACGTCGCTATCAGAAACAATGCCCGACTGTTTTGGACGTAATATGGTCTTTGTTTACAGTAGCAAGCATCGCTAACGTATGTGTAAAAAAGCAGGAAATAAAAAAAGGAACTCACCTTCTAGTAAACCCGCAAGATGAGCTCCATACTGTTTCAGAAATAATCCTTGAAGTGGTTTGGAACATGATATGGCCTTTAATCACGGCAGCATTTAGTTGTATCTGAGCAGAGCAGACAGCCTGCTCGTCACAGAACTCACAGTGTGCCAGCTGCTCAAAAGGGGGCGGGGCCAGCAGAGAATCAGCCATTCTCTAACAGGGCTGAAATAGAGGCCGTGTCTCAATTCAGGGGCTGCACCCTTCGGAGTACGCAGCCTACGCGGTCCACGGAGGACCCAGCCCACGTAGACCGGGTAGGCTGGACCGAGCGGCCTACGAAATGAGACGGTCTAACCTACGGAGCGCTTCGTATTTACGTCACGTGATACGCATACTTGCCAACGCGGGAGACTCCCGATTTCATAGCCCTCTCCCGGTTTCCTCCCGGGGTCATATTTCTCCCGCATTTCTCCCGATTTCTGACAAAATCAGATTTACCCTGGACTGTTTCCACTCGGACAGCTACACCATTGTTTGGTTTCCATGGTAGCGCGTCTCTTTAGTAGCGCGCGCAACTGAAAGTCTGAGAGGGTGAGGAAGATAGTCACAGAAAACTGAACAAGAATCGACAACTCCACCCTCTGCTCACTCCTTTCCTGGATACAGGTCCAGCCCACACATATGCTCAATGGTGCTACAGGTATTGCACTTACAACTACAATAAGCATGTTAATGTTAATCTAAAACAGCTCCGGCGATCAGTGAAAAAGAGTTCTCCATCACACTGACCGCAAGCAACCCGCTGAGGGAGGGGCTCACACACCAACACCTCCTGGAGTCTGTGTGTGTGTGTGTCAGGGTCTGTGTGACCCAACCTAGGGCCCTACTCCATCAATAACGAAATGGCTTCATCTTCTGGAGCGGAGTGCACACACACACACACACACACACACACACACACACACACACACACACACACACACACACACACACACACACACACACACACACACACACACACACACACACACACACACACACACACACACACACACACACACACACACACACACACACACACACACACACACACACACACACACACACACACACACACACACACACACACACACACACACACACACACACACACACACCACACACACACACACACACACACACACACACACACACACACACACACACACACACACACACACACACACACACACACACACACACACACACACACACACACACACACACACACACACACACACACACACAGGTGAGTAACTAAATAATGTGGGACTCCTGCTTTAACAGTTTCTCCCTGCACTGTGTGTACACAAAGTACACTGTGTCCACAATACAAAGCTATAAAACAAGTTTAAAGTTAACAAGGCGGCAACTTCAGTGAATGTTTTTACCTTTTAAAGTTAAACCTACTTTTACTATATTGTAGTTTTGCCACATGTCCAAAAATCTGGTGTTTGTTCTGACGTAAAATAATATATAACTATTACATCATACCTTGTATCTTGCACTGGTAAAGCCTGGGAATAGCCAACAATTATACTGTGTCGCTATTGTACATGACAATAAAACCTGTGAATCTTTAACTATACACACACACACACACACACACACACACACACACACACACACACACACACACACACACACACACACCTACACTCAAATCAAATAATGTTTATGAGAGACTTTTTAATGTTGTGCAGTAGCTCTGTTTTGGTCCTGTTTTCCAGTGTACCACTCAGTATAACACATGACACGCCTGTTTATGTGGCACATGGGTTTGGTTATTGAAATCATACCACAATAGAGCTCTCTGATGGGTGTGTTCGAAGCACATGATTTATTTTACATGGCACCTAAACACTCAAACTGGTACTACTAACTCGTCAATGATTTTTAGAAGAATAGATTGGGAGTAGCTTTACGGATAGAAACACTGTGGAGTGTGATGTGGCCAAGGCGAGGTTTACTATGTGAACAGTGACGTGTTTTACTCATTACATTGATGCTTGGCAACAGAGATAGCTAGATGGACTGGTTGAATGTGCCATCACTATGTGCTTTGTGAGGAGCTGGTATGCTGATACAGCTGAAGACTAGAAAAACATTCTTTGTCAAACTGCTCCATCACATGAGCATGATTTAACCCTCCTGTTATCCTCAGATTTACTTTACACCCTTTATCCTCTGGGGTCAATTTGACCCCGGTAGTTTAAAACTCAAGACAATGATCATATTCCAAATTATAACCAACATGTATGTCTCTGGTGCTTTAGGTATCTTAGTTGACTGCCTAAATAACCATTTAAATAAAAACATTACCCCAACCTCCCCCCCACAGACCCCTTTATACATCCAGAATTCCTATTATGTGACAATCGAAAAATATATAAATCACCATAAAATCTCACTGACTGAAATAAAATGTTAAAGTTAGATATGTTTGATGGTGTTAAAGGACCAATAACTAAAGCAGAGGGTAGTTTTTTTTACAATGATACATTTGCATGTAATAGTCACCTTGATATCATCCTACACAATCAACACAAATATGTGTAAAATATTGAAATCTTTATATGTTTTATACTACTAAAACAGCCTGGGGTCAAATTGACCCCAAGGAACACCGATGCGTACAAAGTGTGTACAGGACATTTAAAAAAGATCTTCATGTTCATTTTATGTTTACCCATTAGTTCTCACTAAATTAGGAAGAGTCATGAAATACTAAGCAAAAAAAATAATGTGAACCATTTTTTTAGATACGTTAAACATTGAATGGGGTCAAATTGACCCCAAGGATAACAGGAGGGTTAAAAAGCATCATCATGTGATATCTGAACGAACAAACATATGTTTGTTTCTTACTGAGATTCCGACAAAATAACTTCTTGCAGATTAAAAAAATAAAGAGAAACCTAATCCAATTATAAAAGTTACTTAATAAATTAGTATACTTGGAGTTAACTCAATTTAAAATGTCAACTACAGACAAGAAATAAGATAATAATTTTTTCCAAGTATTCCAAGTATTCTGTTACTACCAGCCTGTGTGCGGTTCTACATGCTGTTGTCTCGCAGTGTGAGAACTCCAGGGTCTACTCACAAACAGGCCAGTCGGATGAAAGGAGGCAGGGTGAATAACCTGAAGACTGTTCACCTTTATTCTACCCCCCATCAACAGCGCATACACACTGCTCGATCTATTCTATGTTATTTGGTCGCTCTCATTCCAGTCCAGAGTATGCCATTACAGATCAGCTCAGCAAACACACACATACAAGAGATAATGTATGTAGGAATACACACTTTCTCCATGTGATCTTACACCAAGTCTCTCACAGAAACACACACACACACACCTTGTCCATGTCCACAGTGCTGCAGCGGTTGTACGCGTCATTCTCGTCCTCCTCTTTTTGTTCTGTCGTCTTTTCTGAAGTTTTTTCTTCTGTCTGCTCGCTGGCCTTCCTCCTCTCTCTCAGATTCTGAAGAAAAACAGGACAAAAAAATAACGTCAACAACAGGTACAGGTAGACAGGTGTTTGAATTGGCAGTCATTGAGAGAGTCATCATAGACGAATAAAAAAACGTTGAAATAGGGCCCATCAAATACTGTGTGGTCAAGATGCACAAACACTTGTTGCACGTAAAAAATAAACAATGTGAACATTGGCATGTACATTTATCTTTCTGACCTGATGATCAAAGTAGCTCAGGTGTTGGACATCCTGCTACTTTCACATCTCTGTTGAGTCGTGCATTTGTGCAGTACTAATTGGGCAATCTCAAAATGATATCAGAATCAGAATACTGGAATTGGGTTTTGTGTCAGTTTTAGAATGAAATAAATAATAATATTAAATAGAATAAAACATATTCATATAAAACAAGAGTCGGCAACAAAAATATAAAATAAATAAAGATAAGCAGTCAAATTCAAATATAAAATAAAATAAAATAAAAATATTTATAAAAACATGAAGTTGAAATAGGAACATGCAATGAATATATATTTAAAAAAAATCAAAGACATTAACCTAAAAAAAATAAGCTTAAAGGTGGGGTAGGTAAGTTTGAGAAACCGGCTCGAGATACACTTTTTGTTATATTCCATGGAATGCTCTTAACATCCCGATAGCAATGAATATCTTAAGTGCTTTGACAAAAAACCCATAAAGAAATGTCATCTGTGGAAGCCGTAATACTGTAAAAAGCACGACCAATCATTTTAGCCGGCCCGGCTAAAATAACTGGATGGCCTACCTGCCTGTCAGCCTTCCATCTGAGCACAAACTTATCTCGTGCCCTCATTGGTCATGTGCGCGTTCGTGTGTGTTGGAGGAGGGGCTCTGTAAGGAAGTGGCAGATTTTTTCCGGTTGTGTATTTTCAAATTCTAGCAATCTCGAGCTGGTTTCTCTAAAATTACCTACCCCACCTTTAAGTAAAATGTCAAATAAAAGATAAAATAAAATAGCGAAAAATATATTTATATATAAATGAAGTTAAAGTAAAATTGTGAACATTGTACAACAATATATTAAATGGATATTACAATAAAGACAGTGGTGTATCAGTATTAATAAGATATTCCTGTATTGCCCTGTTAAAAAGCGCAATTTGGCTAATGATAGTGAAGTAAGTCCACAGGCCATTAGTTAAACATTCACAGTGTGTCATTCATTGGGTGGGAGAGATGGGAGGCAGGTAAAGACAAAGTTAAGGAGCTAAATGCAGGAGAGCTTTTCCAATACCCTGGAACGGGAGATTAGTTGGGTGGAGTTATAGGATGCGGTCGAAACTCCAGATTAATTAAAAAAAAGATGATGACTCATTTAACTGCTAATAACCTATATAAAACTATTAGTACAGGGTCGTGTGATAATTGACTTTGGGCAAGTGGATTTCTGACCAACTCCCAACCTACTCAGAGTGAACCTGGTGTGTGTTTTGTGGGGTGAGTCACACGGTCCATTTTGGGGCTGCTCTTTGCTCTACTCTGGGATGTTACAGCCTCATCACCATACTTAATGGTTATGACCATGTGACATAACAATAAACATTTATAATGTTCAGTTTCTGAACATCTGATCTCACGAACACATGGTCAACATTTCCACAGATACAGATACAACACACTAGGCATTGATCACTGATTGACATGATGTCTGCCTTTAGAGCTAGGGGAGGCAATCTCTCCAAATGTTCTTTTATATACATTTGTTGAGAAAATAACCAAAACTCGTATTTGTACTCGTGAAGACAGAAGTTAGTCCCTCCAATAATTGTATTCGTCCTGAATGATAGATTCAGGGACGCTTGGAGCTAGTGCTGCTAGCTTATTTAATCGGAAAATGGTTTGCAACAGTGGGCTGGGTTTTTATCTGTAAGATGAATCAAAACCTACTTTATTTCAAGTACAGACAAGAGATTCATATAGGACAAGACAGTATGATGAGATGAAAATACCAGCTTCGCCGCAAAAAATAAATAAATCCTAATATATAATAGGATCCCAACAATTCAAATAACAAAGTCAACAGTCCAATACACCCAATAACCACAAACACTCACATGACACGCAGAGCATCTTTTAGTTCCATTTAATTCCACTATTTGTTGGAGCTCACTTTCACTCTTGCCACCCAACCTAGCTTTAGTGACTCTGCAGCATTGATTTTAAAATGTGAGTTACAGTAATATGAAAAATAGTAGGAAAATCCAACCTTTCTATAACACATCCAAATCACACAATCACACCACAAATGACAGATACGCATGGTCCGCACTATAACCGTATAATCCTTTTTAGAATTTGGGCTGCAGTTGGAAATAAGACCACATGTGCCATGATGTAACAGTTAAAGCTCCCATGTCATGCTTTTCCGGTTATTACCCGTCCCCTTGTGTGTTATGAAGGTTTTTATGCATGTAAACGGTGTGCAGAGTCAAAACCCTCAAAGTACACCCTGTAGCGAGTAAAACTCTAACACAGAAAATACCTCCCCAAAACGCCTCGTTGGAGATACGTCACTGCCCATTTGAGTCTTCCATTTAGTTCCGGGTACCGCCTGATGTCATGCGGTACCCGGAACGAAATGGACCAATCCCGAAGAGCTATGGCCACACCAGCAGCGGCGTGTTCCTCTTCCAGAGGTTCGAAGAACCGGCATTTCACAGACGAAAGCTTCCAAAACATTGCCCAGTTTGAGGCCGGATATGCACAGCTTGTTTGGACCGTTTGGAGCAGGGGAAGATCTGGGTATACAACCTGTAAGTTTGCATTGTTATTTGTGTATTTATCAAACAAGACTGTTTAAATGTGTAAACTGTGTTGGACTGCTAAGCCATTGACACAGTGCTAACTAAGTTGCTAGAGTTTCCATATATCAACTCTAATATCAGCAGATGGCCTTGCATACATGTATCTCATAGCAGGAGAATGTCTGCATTCACACACAAAATACCTATTGACAGTATACTCCGGGTGATTTGCCGGTCAGTCGCGAAACGTAATTACATTATAGCTGGCGTAGCGATCTAACACACGGAGCTAGAGCTAGTTTCGGTCAGAAAAACATTTTTGTGATGCTACGTTGCTAGCGTTTAAATATATCAACTACAATGTCAGCAGATGGCCTTACATGTTTGTCATGGCAGGAGAATGTCTGCAGTCACACACACGGAATACTCATACAGTATACTGTACTGTGATTTACCGTACATTGTGACCGTACATATACTGCATGTAGCTAACGAGGCTAGCTGTATGCTAGCGCAAAACAATGTATTCATGCAAGTTACATTGTATGACCGAACGTAGCAGAATACCCGTATACGATTGCAATTATAAACACGTTATTGCTAGCCTAATATGAACCACTAGCTTTTGTTCATAGTAGTTTTATTACACTGCATTATAGTTGCCTTTCCTCCAAGCTAACGTTCATATCGTGTTAGCTACCAAGGTAAACAAAGCTAGGTTAGCATATTAGCAGGCAAGCTGTTCATTACACAACTACTACTAACGAATCTAAAACAACTAAGTTTCTCTAATATTTTGTGATTTGCATTTGATTTCGTCCAGCCAGATCCTGGCGGACAATCCATGACGGGGAAGGGATTCTACTACTACTGAGGGTGCTAAAAGGCACCGCACCGACTGTGCGCAGGCAAGATGCGAGGAGGAGGAATGGATGATATACCGTGTATATATGTATATTTATGTTCATTTTGTACATTTCTAAAAATAAAGTTTAATGGAAATACTTAGTAGGCCTATCCTTTCTTCCCTGAATTCATATATAGCAAACCATGATTTGATTTCTCATCAAACAGTAGTAGTTTATAACGGGTAAAAATAACTTACTCTTTGTTATGAGAGTAGCTCGTAGGCCACAACGGAAAGACAAGGAGACATACACGAGTTTACAAAACCACGGCACATTTATTGTAGTAAATGCAGAGACAGGTGGTCGAGGGGAGAGGGGAGAGGGTCGCTCAGTTCGTCCTTCTGCAGCCGCTTTGGAGAGAGACTCCGGGCCGCTGGGATTAATAGCACCGGCTACGGAGGTGTCCGTGATCGCGCTGATTACCCTCTTCAGCTCCACCCCACCGTAAGACAAAGGCCCTGAGGCCGTCACACTCTTCTATAACAACAGTTAAAAATATATATGTATATAAAATATACCGCTGTACCGACGCCATGATAAGACTGATGTTACGCTGAGAGCAGCCGGGAAAAGCACTGACATGGGCGCAGCCTCTCTGGTGGTTGACTAATCAGAACGAGTGGCCGAGCTGACCAATCGGAGCACACTAGGCTCACAGGGAGGGGGGGGCAAGAGCTCCAACGAGTCGTTTAGTGGAGAAAGTGAATACTGCTGAATACACATGCTTGACAGAGATGCTGTATGCGAAACCAATGTGAGTTTGGAAAATTGCACAGTATAAATCTATTTTAGTATACCTCAACAATGTAATTATGATCAGTGGAAATGGCCATGACATGGGCCCTTTAAAGAACAATGTGCCTACCATCATATATGCCACATTTAGATTTTTCCTAATCAAATAGAACCGAAACAAGGGTTTTATGGCCTTGTTTGACTGAAACAACAGTGGCTTTACACAGTCACTTACTGTGACAACTCTCCATTTGCCTCACACACACTTCTGTGGGTGTATTTGGGCACAGCATTATACATCTCCAGCTGTTGATGCAAAATGCAAATAATTAGATGTTATCTGAGGATGTAAAAAGGCTTTCATAAGCTGATCTGTATTCACTTGATGTTAGACTATGTTGAACTGGAAAAGTTAATTAGCCACTACCCAAACTGTGGTGAGGTAAAGAGTGCTAAAACCCGGAAATGAGTTAGCATTTTACCACTTCCTGTTCCCTGGTCTCAACATGTGGTTGTTTAGACACCTGAAATATGGTCTGTGTTTAAAACAAACTGAAAAGATGGTTCGTTTTTATTCATCCACATTAAATATGTCAGTAAATACCTCACTTGTGAATGTCTCAAGCTTCTACTGTATATGTCAAAATTGGCAGTGGCTAACAAGTGGCTAAATGAGACTAAACATCATAACACCAAACATTAGCCCCGTTTAGCTTAGCGGTGGTGATGCACAGTCATGTGACCATGATGTAGTTGGTTTATTGCGTTAGCTTTTTTACTTCTGTAGATTGCGGTAACGCTTCAAAGCGGTGTTAATATGTGCAGATTATCCTGCTGAACAAAACGTGTTAAGCATCATAAACGTTTGTCTGCCAAAAGTAATATTTTCTGCGATATTCCAAAATCCATCCTATTGCTTTTTGCAATCACAATGCTAACTTCTGAGTTGGGCTCACTACTCTACACTCAGTGGATTAAAAGATGCAAACATTATTGAATAAAAGCAGGTAAACTAAAAGGAAAGCACCATCTATAATTTTATATTTAGCATAATAATAATTTATAGGGTAGAAAGATTGTTTGAAGCAGTATTGTTGCTCAAAAAACTAAAGCAGCTGTGGTTTGCTTGAGTTCATGTGTGTGTGAGTTCAACATATTCTCAGTTTCCTTTTGCCGCTACTGTGGTTAAGTTTACAAGCTGCTCAGCTGAGATAAAGGCAGCTCAATTTACCAGTGACAAGTGAAAGCAGTGAATTCAGCCTTATGTTGGAGAATATATGAGACTCATAAATACATACGAATAGAAGAATGTAGGAGTAAATCAATAAAATATTATTTTATGCGTTTTTTTTCTTTCACTCATCATTTATAATGTGTTCAGTTGCTGTTTTTTAGTGCATGTTAGTGTCTGTGTGTATTCATTCTGTTCAGTTTTATTGTGAAAGCACTGTAATTGTTTGAAGGGGCTGTATAACTAAAGATTATTATTATTAATTCAAAAAGTTAAGTTTATGTACTTTTTCCCGTAAACTTTGTTAATGTTGGAATTCAACCCAAGTGGAGTTTTTTTTAATGTGAATTTAACTATTTATTAGCTAATTGGTTCTAGACACGTAGATAACACCATTTACTCACACACACACACAAGTCGGGGCGGTGGTGGCGAAGTCGATAGGGAGTTGGCTTGGCAACCAGTTCAAGTCCCGGCAAGACCAAGTGCTACCGAGGTGTCCCTGAGCAAGGCACCGTTCCCTACACTGCTCCCCAGGCGCTGTTCAAAATGGCAGCACACTGCTCCTAACACTAGGATGGGTCAAATGCAGAGAAACCATTTCCCCACGAGGGATTAATAAAAGTCCATCTTTTCTTTTTAAGTCCCCTACGGTTTGTTATTAGCATTGCCATGGCAATTCAACACCTACTGAGGCAATGTTACACCCCCCATCACACACTGCACTAGAACAATAACAAAAAAGAAGAAACAAAGGGAACATTAACCTGTCTCCTCCTCAGAGATTATTTGATGTTGTAAGTAACTCACTCTAATAATATGAGATCAATACATCTTTAATCCTGTTTTTAATGAGCGTTCTGCATAGATCCTGTACTACCCAGCATTATTCAGCATCAACAGTAG